GAGGATCGGTGCTCGCACCAAAGACCAGCGCAACCGACGGTTGCGGGAGCTGAGGGAATTTTTGTCCCTGCCCGGGTGTACGCGCTCAGGTCCCCACATTAATCCGACCTTGTGTCACGTCTTGTTCTAGTGGGGAACGAGTAAATACCTGAGTGCTGGCGGAAATAAAACACTGCTCGATGTATAAATGTATATTTATTATTATTATTATTATATATATATATATATATATATATATATATATATATATATATATATATATATATATAGCATTCTGAAAAAAATTGCGAGTGTGTGAATATATGCATGTGCGTATGCATAAACTGATATTGAATGTACTAGACAAAAATATATTCATTATTGCATTTAAGGGAATTTTTACAATTTCCCAGACAGTTGTTGTGGCTCACACATTCAAATGAACAAGGTGTTCCCAGTTAAACATGACATCTTAATAAATTCTTTTTAAGATAATTAGCCAAAATTTAAGTGGACATGATTTGTCACTTCTAGAAAGAAATGACTTTCTTTTTCAGAAAGCTATTCGGCGCTTGAATTTGACAAGAAATATCATCGCTACATCCGGTGTCCGCGTCAAACTGGGGCGGTGGGTGTAAATATATTCTGTGTTTTTAGATAAGAAAAACGATTTCTCCTTCATAATGTCTTAATTATATCACTGATAATTAAATTCATGTGAGAAATTTTGATATATATATATATATATATATATATATATGAAGAAATATAGTCTTAAGGTGTGCTATATTTATGGGATAAAGGGCTCAATATCAGAGACAGTGCATGTGTAAATATAAAAGTGAACATTGAAGTCAACACATAGAGGCAGCAGTCTGTTTCATGCTAGACGCAATCGTCAGGCTATTTACATATATATATATATATATACGTATACAATACGCGGAAGCGAAAATCGCGTCGCTGCTCGTGACGTCACACATGACAAAGCAAGAGTGAAAACGAGAAGTATTAAGTATGGCAATCCGTTGGTATCAGACAATAAGAAAAGAACTTACTTAAAATAAATAGACAGAACTTGTCTATATTATTTAATGAAACATTCATCAATATATATATATATATATATATATATATATATATATAGATAGATAGATAGATAGATAGATAGATAGATATGTATGAATATAAAAATAACGAGATATATACAGGGTGTAACAGAAAAATTGTCCAAATCGAGTAACTTCATAATTGTACGTCTCACATATGTTTAATATCTAAAAAACACGAAACTAATTGAGCTTCTTTTTTTCATGTCTTCAGAGGAGACGTGTAGCCATTTTAATACCATTTGTCATAAGATTCACTGAAAATCTCTTTGAATTATTCAGCTAAAAGAAACGCAGGTTAAAATTGTTTTGTGTCAGCCCCACTGTCTTCCCAACTGAGCAATGGTTAGAGGAAAAATCATTCAGGCCTTCAGTAATGGTACCAACATTCATCCCCTGGCTTCCAGCTTCAAAATTCATTCAAGAACCATCAAGAGAACGGTGAATAAGTTGAAAAAAGAAGACACGCTATAGAGGAAAATTGGGTCAGTAGGTCACAACAGGATAAGGGATCATTATTTCAACTTAGAGCTAAAGAGATCAATTAGAAAAGATCCAACTCATTTCACAAGACGTTTGACAAGGGTGAGAGGAGTTTCATGAATAACAGTCTAAAGACCAGTGAAAAGTAGCAAGTGAGTCAACGTGAAAGTGTGGTTGTAGAATATCCTATGTAAGTCTTTCTGCCTTTTTTTTATTTACAGACGTTTTATATTCTTTTTTTCTTATATAGTCTCACACTCAATAAACTCTTGCGACTTAGTGGATTTATTGTCTTGTTTGGGGTAAAATGATTAAAGAAAAGTATATATTGTTTAAAAATTTGGCATATTTATAGGGGAGAGTGGTATATATCAGGAAGAGAAAGCTACTGCATGGTGACTATCTTCAGACAGCAATAAAAATGAGAGTAATCAGTAATAAAAAGATTGATTCTTATACCGAAACACTATATATATATATATATATATGAGGAAAATGTGTTGACGTAAATGATGTTCCTCTTGTCTTTTTTTTATTATTATTATTATAATATATATATATATATATATATATATATATATATATATATAAAGAAAAACAAACCACTTTAAGGCTGTATTGTAATGGTTTATTTCACCAGAGACATTTTAAAGGACGCTGGATCTTCAGACATCTCTTCCAAAAGTGGAAGTGATATCTGAAGATCCAGGGTACTTTAAAAGGTCTCTGGTGAGATAAACTATTACAATGGAACTTAAAGGGGTCTGTTTTTCTTATATATATTAGCAGCATGGCCCGGCGTTGCCCGTGCTTGATTCAAAAATCGTACGACTCATACACCAATCGCTATCACTTGACTTAAAATATTTTTGCCATTCCTTGCCTTTAAAGGAGTGTCCTTTGCCGTGCTGATGTTGCTACATGCCTTACTTCTTGCCTATCTCACACTGCGAATTTTTTCTAAGCTCTATACTAAACATTAAATCTGTTACGATAAAAGAACTAAACAAAATGAACACAAAACGATCAGCTTTAAAAAAGGACTCGTAACTGCAAAAACCGAATGAAAAAAGAATGTTAAGAACAAATACTTTTTCACACCCAACCCAGTTCTGCGGAATCAGAATCAACGTAGAGTTTAAGCATGCGAATGAGTCAATTGGAGTAAAGTGCTATGCAGATTTATATTTTTCACACTTGTGACGAATGCAGCTATCGATTTCTTTTGCATGCTAGCATGCTAATTAATATTCATGTCAGTCAGCTGTTGGCTCTCACGCTGGCTAATAGAATCTTCCTGTCCATTCGTGGCAGCCAGCTATTGGCTCTCACTCTGGCCAGTACAAAATGGCCGCAAACTACATGAAAACTGCCGTAGAACCGTGAAAAAATCGATTATTTCCACTATCGATGTGAGTTGGGAAATGAAAGTCGGACTTGGCCTTCCCGCTAACTTGGAGCATGTGCATGTAAATTTTGGTGCAAATCCGTCGAAAATTGCGGCCGTGCATTCGTTACACACACGCACGCACACACATCCTGCCTTTTATAGATAGAAGTATATATATCAGCTGTTACAATAAAAGTGTCCAAATCGTGTAACACTAAAATTGCCCAAAAGTTAGATTGAGCTCTGCGCCGTTGTGTCTTAGAAGAATTCTGATAAAATCGAATATAAACAAAAAAAAAACATGATCATCATTAATTAATCATAGCTCGGGATCGGAAGTTCATAAAGAAATGAAATAATATTGAAATATTTATTATTCCGGGATCATTTGCTAACATAGTCAAGATGGTCTTCGTCCTCTCTAACATTCTAACTTTCTGTCTTGGTGAAACAAGATTGAATTGGATCTTTTCTACTTAATCTCTTTAGCTCTAAGCTAAAATGACAACCCCTTTTCATGTTTTGACCTCCTTATACAATTTTCCTCTCTTCTGTTCCCTCTTTTTTAAACTTATTAACCATTCTCTTGATGGTTCTTGAATGAACGTTGAAGATGGAAGCCAGAGTATAAATGTTGCTACCATTACTGGAGGCCTGAATGATCTTTTTCCTCTCAGCATTTCTCAGTTGGGAAGAAAGTGATCAGACACAAAACGATTTTAACCTATTCTCTTTCTAGCTGAATATCTCAAAGTGTTTTTTAATGATTCATACGACAAATCGTGTCAAGATGACTAAACGCATTATCTGAAAACTCGGATAAAAGAAACTCAATTAGTTTAGTTGATTTTTAGAAATTAAACATTTTATGGGATCGCTAATTATGGTGTTACACGATTCGGATAATGTTCTTGTTACATCTTGTGTGTATGTGTGTGTGTGTGTGTGTGTGTGTGTGTGTGTGTGTGTGTGTGTGTGTGTGTGTGTCAGATTTAATATTTAAGAAACAGCTGATATTTTTATATATGCTTCTCAATATTAAAAGTATTAAAATAATATAAAAAATAGAGAGTTAATGATATTGTATGAAAAGATTACGTTTAAATATCAATTTTATCCAGGCATCGTTGTTTCTTGGTTAAATTTCCTGTCTTCAGGGGTTGGGATTTTAAACGGTATTTCCATTTTTTTTCCTTCTTGACACGATTTGTTGCAAGAATCATTGAAAAACTGGAAATATACCGTTTAAAACGCACCCATGAAGAATAGAAATTTTTACCACGAAACATCGACGTCAGGATATAATGGATATTTAAATGTTTAGTAAACATTTCATATATATATATATATATATATATATATATATATATATATATATATATATATATGTGTGTGTGTGTGTGTGTGTGTGTGTGTGTGTACAAGGGCTGCTAAAATACTTTCCCCAAATCTTAAAAAACAGCCAAATCGAGGGAAGGCCTTCTAAGTCAGAAGTGAGGACATTTCCGTTTCGGTGATATATATATATATATATATATATATATATATATATATATATATATATATATATATATGCAATACTATTAGATAAAATGAATCGAGTTCTCTCATTCACTGGCATGTTTATTTAAAATAAATACGCTTAAATTCACCTTCATCTCTGCCGTGCGCCAACGGCTTATGGGTAGGTTTCTGACTGACGCCATTTCAGCTAGGTTTCGATCCTAGCTAGAGGCAACAGGGCGTCTAGCCACACTGATGAGCTATGATACAGCGAAACAGTCTGTCTGTGGATTACAATATAAATATATATATATATATATATATATATATATATATATATATATATATTAATAATAATATATCATTAGAGGGAGAGTATGAGAGAATGCGAAATAGAGATAGAGCAGAGAGCAGCATAGTATATATATATATATATATATATATATATATATATATGTGTGTGTGTGTGTGCGTGTGTGTGTGTATGTATCTGTACGTGTTAGAAAGAGGGTGGGGTGCTGTAGCTGTGCGTTTTTATGGTCTTCGTGATATCCAGACAGGAAAATGCCCGGGTAGGAAATGGCATCCACATATCTGATAGACGAAACGCATTTTCATTTATACGTCATCTCTTTACCGATAATGGATTGTGGAATGGGCTAAGGCTCTGAAGAAAAGTCCGTAGTTTTACTGTTTCATCATTGTGGTAATGATAAACGCCGCCAGGTGACGTTGCTGGCTTGCTTTTATCTCACAGCTATTATAACGTCATATTAAAAGTATTCGGGAGTCAATGGCGCTTGCAAATAGAAACGACGCCATTTTGACCTTGATTATGTTTTCTCGTTCATTGGTTGTCTGCTTTCCAAATGGACCCAAGTAGATCGCTTGTTTTCATCACTAGTGGCTTTCTTTCTTTCTTTGTCTTTCTTTATTTTATTTTTATTTCTTTTTTATTTCTTCTTTCTTTCTTTCTTTGTCTTCTTTCTTTTTCTCTTCTTTGTCTCTCTCTCTCTCTCTCTCCTTTATTCTTTTTCATTTTCTTATCCTTCTTTCTGTATTTCTTTTTCTTTCTTCTCTTTCTTCCTTGGTTGCATTCCTAATGTCTTTCTTTTTTCTTTATTTCATTCCTTCCTTCCTTCTTTCATTTCTTTCTTTTTTCTTTTTGTTTTGTCGTTTTCTTTGATATTGTTTCTTTTTTGTTTCTCTTTCTTTCTTTCTTTCTTTCTTTCTTTCTTTCTTTCTTTCTTGTTCCTCTTCTTTCCGTCTCTCCCTTTTCTCTACTTTATTATTTTCGTTTTTTATTCTTCCTTCTGTATTTCTTTTTTTCTTCTATTTATCTTTCTTCAGACATTCTTTTTTCTTTCCTTTTCCTTTCTTTCTTTTTAATTCATTCGTTGTCTTTATTCTTCTTACCTGTTCTTTATTCCTCTCTCCTTTCTTTCCTTTATTCTTTTTCGTTCTTTTATATCCATCTTTTCGCATTTGTTTTTCTTTCTTTCTTTTACTTATACTTCATACAAATTTCTTTCTTTTGTTTTCTTTCTTTGTCTCTTTTTTCCTTATCTAATTCTTTCATTCCTTCTTTCTTTCCTTGTTTTTCTTTCTTGACATTTTCTTTCTTTCTTTCTTTCTTTCTTTCTTTCTTTCTTTCTTTCTTTCAGATATTCTCCATGTCTGCTCTCATCTCTTTTCCTTTTCATTCTAATCCTCCTCTTCCTATAAAGTTCCCAGCTTAAATATTTATTTCCATACTTGCCTCTCTTCTTCTAATTCACCCTCTCTATATCCGAGTATAGTCTCATCTCCCTCTCGCTCTCTGACTTATTTCCTAATCAATCCGTTTTTTGTCTTCTCTCGCCTTTTTTTTATTATATTCTTTTTTCTTTCTCCTTTTTATTTTCTCACTCTTTCTTTAATATTTTTTCTGTATCAATTTGTTTAGATTCGCAATTTCTCCCTTTTGTCTTTTCCCATTTTATTACCTTTTTTTTATTTATTATCTTTCCATTCTCCTCGCTTTTTATTTTCTCTCTCTCATTCACACTTTTCTTCATTCTCACTTTTTTTTAAGCATATCACCCCAAGTCAAGTCAGGAGTGCCCCTAGCACGCAAGGATTTACAGATAGTGAGAGAAAGAGTAAAGTGGGGTGTTTGGGAAAAGGATAAGGAAAAAGATGGAGATCAAGATAGCAGAAGATGTCGATTGACATTACATTTGAATATATGAAGATTATAGTTATCAGGGAAGCAAGCAAAAGGAAGGGAGTTCCACTTTCGGGAAGTGCGAGAGAAGGAGCTGTTTAAGTAGAAGAGGCGATTGCATTTAGCAGTTTAGTCAGTGAAAGGGTAGGACTGAGATGCCAACCTGTCCATTTTAGTTGTTGCTGCTGTTGGTAATCTTCAAGTGATATGGATTCTGTTATTTGGTAGTGTTCTTTGTGATTCCACAAGGTTCAAAGAAAGATGGCTTTTGTCAAAATCCTCAGGCTTCACCCGCACAAAACGTTTTTTCACCATTGATCTGTGAAAACATATATACATATTTTAAAGACATTTTGATGTTCATACATTCTTTTTATAGATACAAATATTTAAGCAAATGCTCTGTTTATAATAAATAGTATTAAACAACATTTACCGGCCTGAATGTCCGAGAAATTTTCGTAGAAAATATTCGTTCTTCTATGAAAATTTCTCGGATATTTCTTAGATATTGTCTAGCAAATCTAGCAGTTACAATTACTCGAATTTTTTCTGACGAGTGTTGACATCCTCACAGTATTTAGTATTGTTGAATTTATCGCTAACATTTTTGTCGAGATTTATAAACTCTACGTTTCGTTCAATTTCGTAAACCAATCGATGAAATTTGAATAAGCTAATTTGTTTGAAAAACACTTTGAAAAAAAAAAACCCTACTTCGGGGTTTAATAATTTTAAACATTTAACTTTTATAGGACTTCATAGTAAACAATTTTTTTTAAAGAAATTTTCTTTTTTTACTTTTTCAATGGCGAAGAATAAATTCTTACGATTTTTTACTCTTGAGCATGCAACATAAAACTGGCCGTACGTAAATATTTCTTTCTGGAGCCAGATTCTAACTTTTTGGAGCGTTTGGCTTGTGATTTGTTTATAGTTCTTGCAATCGCAGGTCGAACTGGAAACTTGATTCTTGTTTAAAAAAATGGTGTCTGCAAAGTTACGAAAACATCTGAAAAGTAGTCGGAAAACACCTAAAAGTAGTCAGTTTTTCGCTCGAAAACAACTGATTTTAGCTAGTTTAGGCAGTTTACGTAAAGTTGTATTAAAAAAAATTAATACTTTATTTTGTACCCCCTTACGTGTTTGCACTTCTCCCCAAAATTTGTTTTCGATGGGTATGGCTATTTTAGAGGGTGTGTAAGACAGACTAACGGAAGTCAGGGGATTTTATATATAGATTTTTCTTAGAAGATTTGCCAATGACTTAATCTCTTGCTTAGTTTTTGAAAAGCATCTTTCTCTATTGCTATGGCTTCTGATTTTGTTGCTATAGTACTTAGATAATTAAATTCATGTGACTGCTTAGTTTGAAGTCTCCAGTAAGCGGCTCCGACATTGGGTTGTCTCTTTTGCTCACACCAATGCATTCCCTCTTCTTACAGGATATGGGTTACTGTTTCTATCTTTCTGTATTGCCTAATCCTCACTTTCCGGCGTTGATAGATTTCAAAAGCGTGATGAATTATTTTTAATTCTACATCTCCTTCCTTATAGACGAATCGTTCCTCACCTATTAAGACTCTAACGCTGTTTTTACGGCCGATGTTCAGGCAAGCGACTTCCTCTAGTTCCAACAATGCAGAACATCAGAAGTAAATCAACCTTCTACACGACACCGGCCCATCTTCCATCCGTATTCCATTTTTAATGTTGAAGTTCATCCCAGACAGCTTCTTCCCCAGAACTGTTATTTTGTGAAAAAGATTCCTGAGAGACTCTTCAAACTGATTCATTAATTCTCTTCGCTGTTGGGCCTTCTATTGGTGGACAATAGTATAACAACTAGCTTGTTAAGGAGTTCTTTCAGTTTTCTGTCATCAACTTAGTGTATCGTCCTGGATAAGACGTTAAACTATATCCACGTCCTGGGTAAGACGATAAACTACGTCCAGCATCAAAGCCTCTCATCAGGAGGTTTTGAGGAGCGTGGAACAACCGCTTAATTGCTAGTGTTCCCAGGTCCACCCTGACCCAGGGTGATAGCACCTGTTATGGTCCCAGCTATGGGCAAATAGTTAACTATTACCAACAATACTTTTTTGAAAAAAATTATTGCCAGCAATACAATTTTGAAGGAAATATATTACCAGAAACAGATTTTTGACAAAACAAATATTACAAGCAATAAAAAAATGTTGTCGGCATTAAATAACCCATTGAGGTTGATATGCCGTAAAACAAAATAAACCAAACCAATCTAAACCAAAGAATACATATTCTATTCATACGAATGTATCGTGAAAATGTTAGGCATTAAATAACCCATTGAGGTTGATATACCGTAAAAGAAAATAAACCAAACCGAACCAATACAGTGTCATCCGTTTATCTTACGGAGTTAAAATTCTGTCCGCCATTAATGGACCCTGTCCGTTTTTCAATTTCTCTTAGAATCGTTTCGCTGGACAGATTAATAGAATTCCACAATCTAACAGAATTAAAGAACGGAATTCTAAGTCTTTGTGTTAGGAATACCTCGAGAAGAGTTTCGTAGAGCACTGTCTGTTCCTACCAAACGACCATGCAATATCATCGTACGACTCGAGAAGCCGAAAGATCGCTATTGTGATTGGCACGAATGAAAATAGTCGCTGGAAAAACGTCTAAAAGATTTTAACTTAATATTGAGTTTTTTCGTGTGAAAAACTGGTCAGTATTAAATGCCATCAGTGTCTCATTCCACATCTCTGAACTTGACGTCAGAATCTATGAAGCCATGAAGGTCGATACATGCAAGATAATTAGACAAATAATTAACTACTATTGAATCATTTCTTATTCATTACAGGCGTGCAATGAGATTCAAGTGACACCAACGGTCACGTGAGTCTATTTCATCCTTTTCACCAAGCACGAATGACCACATCTGATGAGAAAATTTGAGCTTCCTGAAGTGTGTAATTTCTTGAAAAATGTAACTTGTTTCTTTTCAAAAAGTTACGCAAGATCAAATCGCTATGAAAGAAGAATAAGGTAGTTAAAGATTTAAAAGAAAATCCTAACAAGCATGTTATAGGACATATATTGTATTTCTAAAATATGATATATTAGATAGCATCAATTAACGGTCATAAGTTCCGTAAACAAATCAAATAAAGAAGAGGTAGGGTTTGGTAGCGCTTTTTCATTGGTTCATCAACAAATCAGCAACAAGCGAGAAGGCGAGAATTTCTCAGTCGAAGATTCTTTAGTAAGTGGGTTATGGGTCTACAGTTCTAAGAGAGGGGAGTTTCTCTCACTCATTACACCCACTCTGTCGCTGACAAGTAGTCACCATAATTTCCCTATTGGGGACAGCAAAAGTATCCAATACAGACCATATGCGTTGTACTTTTCATTACTACCAGAAAATCATTCTCTTGGTGAAAAAACTGGTGATTTGGTATTCAGTAAAAAAGAGAAACAATGCAATTTTGCTGTATTGATCTGATACAGGCGTTGTTGATTGATTGATTTGCTTTTTCGGGTTTATCAACCCCTTGTTAGGTTATTTAAAGCCAAAACATATTTTGTTTTTTCTGAACATTTTTTGCGAGTGAATGTTGCTATGGTAATTATTTGGAGATAACTATGAGTTTTTCAGATACAAGTGTTACTTACTAATTAACCCATTGATAGGGGTAGATGAGATGGATTCATACATTTCCTAAGAATGTTTGAGAGAAAGGAAGTGTAAAAAAATCGAGTGCAATGACAAGTGTGGAGAATAATAAATCAAATGGAACAGGCACTGAAGTCGCCAAACACCAGTTCCAGTCACATATTACGTAGTTTATTTTAATTTTTTTAAAATGTTTATTCAGACAATACAGGGACCAAGATCTACTCAAGGTAGAGCGTTACTGATTGAGATTGATCTTGGAGGAAGTAAGAAGTATACATTATGAAGACTTGTAGAATAGATAAAGGTTGACCATGGACTTGAAGCGGCCAGGGAATCATCATTTCGGGAGTTTGTTTCTGGTGAAGAAGCTGAGTTGAACTTCTTCCTTACCAATGGAATAGGAATGGAATATGGATAATTTGCAACTGTGAACATGGCATGGTGGAGGGTCCTAGTTGAGAATGTTTAAGCGAAACTAAGAGAATGTAATTTGTCTGAACATCTGGCATAGTAATAGCAATAAAGTACTGAGTGTTTAGCAACGTTTTGTCTATAGCAGTGACTCTCAACGTGGTCCAGGGGTACCACAGGTGGTCCACATAGCATTTCTAGTGGTCCACAGAGAATTCGTAACCATAACAAATGTAGCCATTTTTCACAAAATGGATCTAAATCATTCATACTTTGAAGAATTAAAAATATAATATTTTTTTTAATTATCCGTGGCCATTATATTTGAAAATTTCAAAAATTACATAGGTATTACGCTGTGCTACATTTGTTTTATTTTTATCATATATATATATATATATATATATATATATATATATATATATATATATATAATATTATATTATATATATATATATATATATATATATATATATATATATATATATATATTATCTTATATATTGTATTTGTTTACTGAAATAAATTTTAAAGTGTAAATCGACTGTTTTGTCTTTTCATTGAGTATTTTAATGTGAAAATTAAAAAGTAAAAATAGGATTTGTCCATTTGAAGAAGAAAAATGGTCAATGGACTGAAAACGGTTGAGAAGCACTGGTCTATAAGGAGTTTCAGGTTGGAGAATAATTCCTTACCTACAAGCCAGCGAAATATGGTGGTAGATGCATTGACTCTTGGAAATATAGACCATGACAGCATGGTAGAGTTTAATAAACATAATTTGTCTGT